AACACCNTTTTCAGTTCACTCCAAGTAAAGACAGATTAGACAACACAATAGTAAGATTCTTCAAAAAGTCTGGTAAGATTCTTCTGAAAAGTCTGGTCGATTCTTCTGAAAAGTCTGGCAAGATTCTTCTAAAAAGACTGGCATGATTCTTCTGAAAAGTCTAGTAAGAATTGACAACACCACTAATTCTCACTATAAAACTTGAATCACAGCTATAARAAAATATCTCAACTATATTTTGCAACCTTCTTTGTTGAGAAATACCACTCAAATGGCTGATAATTCGTATTCAGATGATGAGGCTTTTGATTATACTAATGCCGAACTAATGGTTGAGGCATTCAATCTAGCGTCTGAAATGGATAATTATATCTGTAATTATGCTCAAAACAATCATGTATCTTATCGTGGTTCTATTTCTGGCCATATAGTTATCAATCGTGATCGGGAAAATGCCGATCGCAATCTCTTCAATGATTATGTTTCTRAAAATCCTCGATTTCCTGAGTCGATGTTTCGTCGACGATTCCGAATGAGTCGTACATTATTTCTTCGTATTTTTGATGCTATCCAAAGTCATGACAACTACTTTTTGCCAACGAAGGGATGGATGCGGCAAACTTGGGTTGTCCGGTTATCAAAAAGTTACTGCTGTATTTCGAATGTTGGCATATGGCGTGGCTACAGATGCTACAGATAAGTACGTTAAAATAGGCGAATCGACGGTTTTAGAACCTTTGAAGCGGTTTTGTCGTGCCATCGTGGAGGTGTTTGGAGAACGCTATCTCCGAACACCCAGTACTAATGATGTGGCACGACTACTCCAAGTTGGAGAACAACRAGGTTTTCCAGGAATGTTAGGTAGTCTAGATTGTATGCATTGAAGAATTGTCCAACCGGTTGGGGAGGACAATATTCCGGTCGTATTAGATCTCCAAGTATTATTCTTGAAGTTGTAGCTGACTATGATCTTTGGATATGACATGCATATTTTGGTTTACCGGGGTCTAACAATGACATTAATGTGTTGGAGTCCTCCCATCTTTCTGCAAATCTTGCAGCAGGTACTGCTCCTCCTGCTAATTATGTCATCAAAGGAAAATCATATAATATGGGTTATTATTTAGCTGATGRCATRTATCCAAAATAGGCCACTCTTGTTCAATCTATTCACGATCCTCGTGACCCTAAAAAAYAATATTTTGCAAGGAAACAATAAGCATGTAGAAAAGACGTAGAACATGCATTTGGCGTATTGCAATAGTAGCATGACCTGCACGGTTATGGAGGAAGGAAATATCGCATGATATAATGACTTCGTGCATCATTATGCATAATATGATCATAGAAGATGAACGTGATATTAATGCACCAATTGAASAACGAAGTGAAGTGCAAGACGGGGGAGTTGAGATGATGAACGATGGTAGATTTGAACAGTTTCTTRCCCAACACAAAAAGATCAAGGACAAAGATGCTCACTTTGAACTTCGTTATGCATTAATTGATCATTTGTGGGACGAGTATACTAACTCGGAGAATTAATATTATTTATGTTTTTTTT